AGTGTGCAGCTTGTTGACAACAAGCACAGAGGGGGTCTTTTCAAGTCCTGGATCAGAGGTGTCAAGCCAGTAACCTCATTTTACCCACCGCTTTACTTGATCTCTATTTAAGATTGCCATCATGACAAACTGTCTCATGATGTCTGACTGATGCAGGCGATATTTCATAATCCCTGGAGTGGAGATAATGATTGTTCCACAGGGAGTGTGGTGAATAATCATCATCCTCTCTGAGGATGATGATTAAAATGCTCAATAATTTTTGTGCTTTGTCATCAGGAAGTTCAGATTCAAAAATTCTCTGAGCCACAGATCAGGATGACAGAAGGAGGCATTACCTCACTGGTGAACTCCAGTGTTATCTGGAGCAGAAACTGAACATTTAGCTGATACAATGCCGACATGGAATAAACCCTTACTCATCACATGTAGCCTCCTCCTCCTGCTGCTGCTGTATCATCACATAAAAGTGGTTTACTTGCCTCGGTGTGGCTCGTGGACGCGGGGCAGGTCGCTGTGCAGGTGCCGGTCTGTCCGTGTCTCCGTGTGTGTGAGTGTGAGCGTGTGTGTGTGTGTGTGTGTGTGAGAGAGAGAGAGAGAGAGAGAGAGAGAGAGAGAGAGAGAGAGAGAGAGAGAGAGAGAGAGAGAGAGAGAGAGAGAGAGAGAGAGAGAGAGAGAGAGAGAGAGAGAGAGAGAGAGAGAGAGAGAGAGAGAGAGAGAGAGAGAGAGAGTCACATGTCAGCCTGCGGACTGACCGTGCGATGACATCGAGCGGCGCCTGGCTCTCCCTATGGTCACACCCACTCACTGACTACCCCGGGCACCGCGCTGTCTCTGAGAGGTCCAGCCGCAGCACACAGACACAATGATGCAATACAGCACGTCAGACAGAAAATAATATCGTTACGATAAATACTGTAATTACTATAAATACTTAATGAAACTGAAATGAATGTTTTAAATACTGATGAATTAAATGACAAATGGTCACAGATCAAACCTCACTGACTCATGGTGTCAGATGCTGGCTGCTGGCTCTGGTCCAGATGACTGGGCTGCAGATATTACTCCTCATCCTGTTCGTTTGTGCTGCTGCATATTGGAACTGAACAGTCTACGATCCAGTTCACCAGTGGTAGGGCCACATGTGATTTTTTTTTTTTTTTTTTAAATTCTCTTTAAATCCTCTTTAAAAATATTAACAATGTTTAAATAAAACAAAGAAAAAACAAACAAGTCCTCTGTTTCTGTTTTTTTTTTCAGATTAAAGCTGTGATAAGCCGATGATGAGAAGTTTTATGTTGTTGCAGTTGGACCACATTGAGCACTGCATTGCTATCTCAGTCTAAAATAAATAAAAAGTGTGATGTGGTATTATTTGGTCTCCTTATCGTTATTGGTTGGGATGTGAGTCACCAACATTTGTGTGCCAAGCCAAGTGGGCCAAAAGTTGGAAAAGGTTTGGAACCACTGCAGTGCACAAAACTGTCCTGTGTTCATTAATGTAAGAGACCACCCTCTGCATTCATCCTTCTGTCTATTCAGGTCTAACTTGACTTTTCCATCCTGGCAACAGGCTTACAGCCCATCAAAGCTAAAGCAAATGCTGCCTTCCAGACCTTGAGTAAACAACACCTGACACCAACAGCTAACTCAGCTAGAGGCGAGTTTAACAAGACACTGTTGTATTGTTTCAGCTACCTCTTTCCAACTTGAACAAACACAACAAAATGTATGAGTAAAAATTATATAAAGCCTTACCCCCTCTATATTCCCAGCACAAACCTCTCTGTAGTTAAAGTCTGACAGCTAGTAATAATGGACTATCCTATGATGTGTGGTTTTCCCCTGATCACAGCTCTCCCCTGTTGTATTTGTTGTAAAAACAGACTTTAACCATATTGTTCTCCTTGATGCTCTTTGAAAAACACAGATGCTCACCAAAATAAAGCCTGTTAATGTTGGTTACTATCACACTGTTCAAAAAATAGTACACATACTTCAAACATGGTGGAGGGATGGGGGCCACATGTGATGTCAGCCCTATGTTCCCACAGCCCTATGTTCCCACATTTCTAAGAATGTTTTGAAAATTAGGCCCTATTTTCCCACAGTCTTATATGTTCCCATAGGCCCATGTCCACACTAACCCGGGTAATATTTATCTGGTTAGCCCTTCTGTCCACAGAATTCCGAAACTGAAAACGATGCTTTACAAAAACGATCGCTGAGGTGGTTAAATGTGAAGACGCCGTGGAACGTGGATGCAAAGCGTTCTGAAAGGGTATAAAAGGGGAACATAGGGCTGTGGGAACATAGACACGCTCCCATGGACCCGAGACGAACCCATTACATTTTGGTGACGATTTGGTTAAAAGAGAACAGATCCAGGAACCTTTGATCTCTTTCTGTAACATTGTGAGAGAGGACCTTTTTCTACACTTTTGTCAGTTTCTCAGGAAATAATGTTTGGATCTTAATGTGAGAAATCAGACATATTGATGGTGTTGATATCTATCTGAGTTTGTACAGTTTGGTGCAGATCCAGATTATTAACTGGATCTGACCAATGTGATTGTTTGGCCTTGGCCAAGTTGGGTTGATTAGTCAGATTAGTTCATCTAAATAAAGGAGCATGGAGACAACAAGTTTAGTAGATGTCACTGGATGCTAGATCATCAACAGAAACAGAAACAGTGGCAGTGACAAAGCAGCTTCTCGCCTCAAATCAGCCTGTTGAAGAAACCATCCTGTTCCACACTCATGAACTTGTTTGTAGAGGAGAAACAAACAGAGAGAAGACAGGGCTTTGTCTTCATCCTATCCTCCTATTTGGACTAGAGAACAAATAAGGTAACAGGATGAGGAGATGACCTTTACCAGCAGGAAGAGGAGTGAGAGGGTGAAGGTGTACCGACTGGTCTGATAATCTCTTACTTACTAAAGGCTGTGTCCACTGCTCTTCATGTAACAGGCGCTCAACAGCAGTCCCAAATAGCAAAATGAAACTTCTGGCCCAACATATACCTGGGTCCTCGGCCCAAGTCTGGCCCATACACTTCCACATCTGGGCTGATTCTGGCCTCCAGTATTGGCTGACAGCAAGAAGATTGTCTGTGTGTGTAACTGGGCGTATACTGGGCCAGAAGAAAAGAAGTATGGTCTGGATTTATTTTGCCATCTGAGGTGACTCATTAATCGTCATCATTTACAGGTGTAGAGCAGCACAGTGGTGATTTCTGTTTGTTTCGAATGCAACAAATTGTGGGATTGTTTGTAAGAGGCCATGAAAACATCTTTTCTTTAATTTCATTGTTGGGACTTTTGGGGGCGTGATACTACACACTACTACCACACTGTTACAGTGGATACACAAAGAAACGTGCTCAACATGTGGAGCACTTTGTGAACGGGATGGGATTTCACAGCTCAGGATTTTACTGACATGTCATTTACTCCAGAATTCATTATATTCAAAGTCATACAGCATATTAGATAGAAAGGTTTTTTTTCATTTTTAACACTGATTTCTGCAGAAATGACGCATTTTGTTCTCGTTGTTATTTGTACAGTCTGACACTTTTATTTTATCCTAAAATGCAACAGAGATTAAAATTCAATGATGAACAGACATTTTTGTAATGTTCTGATAAACTGTGTGAAGAAGATTTGATTCAGGTTTTTAATGAGAACTGTGAAAGTAGAAAATGAACCGAAAGCTGGAAAAAATCAATCAGTGCTCATCATCATCATCATCATCATCATCATCATTATCATCATCATCCATGAATCCTCCTGTAAGTGTGAAACATAATGACATTTAAACACAAACCTGTCTATGCACCTATACTGTCTATATGTATCTTTTTATTGCACTAAGATTATCTCTCAAACAGCTATTTTCTTTATCAAAATGTGTTATCAATTTAGTTATATAGCTATTTATTTGCCCTAGTGATGTCTCCCATGTTATTGCCAGTCTCATAATATCATAGGCTTCATTTTTCACCTTTGTTTTTTATTTTTATTTTTTGCACTGATGTTGTTTCTTCATGTCATTCTCTTTTTTGTTGTTGTTGTTTTGTGCAGTTTGTCTTGCACTGGTTGTGTGTTCTCTTTTGTGTATTTTTAAAATCTCCTCTATGTGTCCTTTAAATTGCCCCCTGGGGACGAATAAAGTTTGTTGAATTGAAATGTATGGCGTCTTCCCGTAGTTGTTTTTCTCCTATTGACCACAGGGCGGCAGCAGAGAGGGGGAAAATCCAACACTACAAAACACACAGAGCTTTGACGAGCCACAACCAGTCCAATACTACTAGTTACTTATGAATCTATTAACATAAGTATTAGCTTATCTATTAATAAGTATTAATATTACCCTGGCTATGGCTGTTAGACCTACTGTAGTTACTGCACTGTACAGCTGTGAAGATAAATCAAACATCTGTATTCAATAAACAAAACTCATTTTCAGCATCAACATTTTATTGAAGAGAGAAAAAAGAGCATGAGCTCCAACAATTTACATCATCTATACACATGCACTCCTGTACAGTATGTCACAGTATTTACACAGTTTGTGCTGCTTTAGTCCCTCCCACCATGTTACTGTCAATCACTGGACACTGTTTCTTTTCTGGGGGGTCATATTCAATCTGAACACATCTACATACATGTATTCACAACATCAGGTATTCTTCTAGAATGGATAGAACGCTGGTGTAAGACCAGCTCCTACAGAGAGTGATGCATTATGGGTTGCTTGTAGCCTTGTCAGTCTGTCAAATCAGTTTAGCTGTGTCCCAATTCAGGGGCTGCATCCTCCAGAGGACACGGTCTATGAAGGTTTGGCCCTTCTTAGACCGCAAAGGCCAAACTGAAATGAGACATTCTGGTCTATGCCATTACTGTTTTGTTGCAAAATGTAGCTCCTGTTGCCTAGCAACCATGACAACACATAACTTTTTTTTCAAAAAAACGTGAGGTTTTAAGACCTTAACAGTTGTACCATTAGCTTTTGAACTGAGCTGAAACCCGATACTGACACTTAATCCTCAGGCTCTCTGTCAGTTTGTTTGCTGACACATTGTTTTCGTTACCTGTTCACAATGAATCTTGGACCACGAAAGATCTACCGATTGGAACCTTCATGGCCCAGGAGAAGAACGTCCCAGACGCATTTCTCAGGAACCTCTAAAATGGGACAGTCTAGTCGCGCCGCTGTGATGCAATCGGTCTTCAAACACAGAATCTGAACTGGGACACAGCTATGGTGTCTTTTTAGAATGAACCAGCTCACTTTAACCTGTCAACCTGTGTCCAGTGTTTCACTTCCTCAGAGGGAAAAAATCCTGATGACATTTGCCAACGTGTTTACTGCAAATATGCACCATGGACTGAATCATGTGTCAAACAGCCAAACATTACTGAATGACGCAGGACGTCATGATGAGGAGCCGAACGAAGAAAAAACCTGACCTCAAAACCTTACACATTGTGTGACTAATAAAAAGACAGAGAAGAGGGATTTACATTCTGTCGTCATGGAGCCTTTGTGATCAGGGTTGTTTTATCCTGTTGTAGTATTTGGTCTGAAATAAACTGGATCCCTATGAAATCCTACAGAGTGGAGGGTTATGTTTAGTCTGTAGGTCTTTTAAATATGATACTGAAAGCGATTTTCTGACATATTTATCACACTATCAGTAAATTCCTTTTTGTGACATTTCCAGTTATTCTCATGACATATTTTGGTCTGTAGAAGAATGAGACAATCCCAGAGAAGTTTGGTCCACTGTGTGTTATTTATGCTGCCACTTGGGGGCGCCGAGGTCTAAGGTATAATAAAATCTCTAAAAAATAAATCTCTATCTAACTTTGTAAGTATGAACGCTGTTGTTCAGGAGCTGTCATCAGAAAACAGAGGTGGGATCTTTGTTTGTGGGGCCCCAGAGAGAGTCCAGCATCAGGGATCCTGAGATCAGTCTGCTTTCTTTGGCTTACGGTTTTTCCACATGACAACAGCAGTGAAGGCCCCTGTGGAGAGGATGAGTGTGGTATTAAAGAAATGACAGTCTCACACTTACACACTTTTTCCACCAACATTAGCAGGTGTAAGCAAGCTTTTTAAACACAGGTAAACCTGCTAATAGAAGCTGATGGAGAGATGGAGAGAGAGTGAGCTTCTAGCCGTCGTGCTAACTGGTAAAACAGATCTGTCTCGTCTCATCTCTGGATTAGAGCTCCTGTAAAAGTGTCAGAGCCTCTGTGTGAGACGCTTCAATCAGTTTTTAAAACTTATGTCAGGGCTGCAGCGCACTCTTTCATCACAGAGCACTGTGTAGCCGCAGTGTCTGCTGTTACAGCACCACGTTGGACAGGTGACAGAAAGAGGTGAAAATGAGCAAGTTCACCTGGGTGTTGTGTTTACACCAATGCTGATCAGAGCCAGAGCCGATAAATACCTGCGTCTACTGCAGAGTCATGTGACCCAGGTGTGAATGCTGACTGTTCCCTTTTCCATTGCCAACAAAAGCCCAATGTTAGCAGTTGTTAGCAGGATTTTGAATAGTGGAAAAGGGGCTAATTTAATTTAACTCTGTATGTAGAGAATGTAGAGTCCATAGTTCAGTAGAACATACCAGTGTGCTGAGTTGTGTGCTGCGTTTTAAGCTGCAGACAGTCCACTCACCAATACACAGGAGCAGTATTACTGCAGCGATGCCAGGGAGGATGACCGAGTACTCCCGAGGAAGAAAGTACTTGTGCAGCACATGATCACTGTCAACAAAAGGCTGGAAGAGGACAAAATATCACATCATATATCTAATATAAAAAGTTTTATTAAATGTGGTTTAATAAGGCTCAGTGACTGGGATGTTGGGGAGAGACAGGACCTACCAGGACGATGACCCAGACTGAGTAGTATGTAAACAGCAGGAGGCTGAAGACAACAAGACTCATGCCAGCTGCTTGATCCACGCCTGTAGCCTGAAGACAAAGAAACACAACAGCATCACACCTCCATGAGACAGATTCAAATAACAAGTTGTCAAAAGTCAAAGCAGCAGAGGATGAGGTGGGCCAAGCTTCAAAATGCTGGTTCCTCCATTTCCCATCATGCAACTATCTGACCCAATTAAAAGTCATTTTGAACTTATACATTACTCTTATATATGAAATCTCTATCGCATGTCATTAGCTTGTCATTGTTGTTTGTTAGTGTGTCGATGTTAATAAAGTTCTAAAGGGAAAAAACTTACAATCAATAAAACCCACGTTATATAATTGTTTACTCTATCATTAAGTCACAACAGAATCTCAGTGCTGTTAACTCTCCACTGAAGAGACACCTCACTGCAGTGACAGCCCAGGTCTGCTCAGCATGGACGCCCACACCAAACTCCATTCAAACATCTTGAAGTTAAGAGTTGATTTGCGTATTCGCAATATAATCACGTAGCACGACACCAGATACACTTTGTTATGAATTAGCAGAGCTCTCGTATAAATCCGGCATAGAAAATGTGAACGAGCTTTGAAAACTTTTGCCTTAAAAGCAGACTTCCACTTATGAATTCAGTTCTGAATAAGAGGAGCAGGAACATTTGGGGTAGATAATAAGCTGTTCTAAAGTTCTAAAGAGAATCGTTTATGTCTTAAGCTATTGACGGGTTTTGTACAATTGTTATAGGTGACCATAAATTAAAACATAAACTAAAACAGATACAGAAACAGGTAGAGAGAAGGTAGAGAGAAGCTATAATGGATTTTACGCCCAGTATCCAGCTATAAGCTAACACTGTTCTTGATAACTCTGAGGAGTAGCTACAGCAGCCATGTGTTAGCTTCATTATCGGGAGGAAGAGTCGAACTTCTAAGTCTCTTTCTCGTTTTCTGAGTTAGCAACAGCTATATATAGCTTTATCTTTATTTCACCGGTTTAAGGTTGATCAGTTATCTTTCTCACCATTTCTGACGTGTACTGTTGTTTGCTGACGCTTCCTGCTATTTCTTCTTCGTGGTATTAAATGCCGCTCATCAGATCCATCAGTAGGTCTCTGCTGCCCCCTGACGGTTTACAAGAATACTATTGAAACTATCAGCTGTCATAATGCACTCAGGTTCTGTGATTGCATGTGTTGACACTTTAGCTTAAAGTAAAAGTACCATGAAAATATTGCATTATAATTCATCTGTTTATCTGCTCAGTCTATCTGCTCCATAGCCTACTGTTGGATGGTTTACTCTGTAACAATACAATATTTTTTTTTTATTTATGTTGCAAACAAGAAGGTATTGCATATACAGTACACCCTGATGTTTCATTCATTCATTTTGACTGGTATTTCTGAAAATGTGTACTCAGTACTCTTACTGATTACTCTGTAATCAGAAATATATGTGCTCAAACATTTTTAAATCAGTCTCATTCCAGCAGTCTTCATGCACGGGTTTGCTCTACTGACGTTTCTATATGTACATGTAGTCATCCTGTTTATTACCAGCCATAGTGACTGACAGTGTCACTAGTACTTTTCTCAACTTGTGTGTGTCTGTTTGTGTGAGTCATCATGGCAAAATGTGGTCCTGGAGACACCTACTGTAGCAGGAACTACAACAGAGGTGGTGTGAATACAGGTGTCTGTCTGACTGTCTGTCTGTCCGTCCGTCCGTCCGTCTATGGACAGATTTTGTCACTGCAAGGCAGAGTCACAAAACAGGCGTGTAGTTGAGACCAAAATGAAGACTGAGTTTGAAGATGGGTGTGGTCTAATGATGTAGTGGTGGCTACTGAATACTCATGTACTCATGTAATGATGTAGTAATGATTGCCAACCCACTCATGAGTCTGAATGTTAATAGCTGTGATCCTATCACAAGATGGTCTCTAGTCAAATATATTTATTTCCTAATTTCCTAATGTTCTTAAATTGCATCATAAAGATTCATTTATGACCTTGGAAACAGAAAAGAAAGTAACTCAAGGTCCTTACTTACTAACATTTCCAGCATTTTCAACAGTATGTCCCTGTCTTCTGCAGCAGAGGAGGACTGCTCTGTAAGCTCTGGAAAAGCCAGTAAGTGGACTTTGAGTTAAGTTGTTTGTTTGTTTGTTTGTTTGTTTGTTTGTTTGTTTGTTTGTTTGTTTGTTTGTTTGTTTGTCCGTCCTTCTCATTCTCATGGATGTGATATCTCAGTAACACCTTGATGGAATTTCTTCAAATTTGGGACAAACATTCAAGGATGGACTCAAGGATGAACTGATTAGATTGTGGTGGTCAAAGGTCAAGGTCAGTATGAATCAAAAGATGAAGTGATGATGATTCCAGGTTTCACCACTTTATTTGGTTTGTTTAATGCAAATCAAACTTTATTGCTCCTCAACACTGGTGTCGTTTACATACAGATAATATCAATAGAGCAGATCACTTGTTGATGTGACTCTTACATGTGTTTACCAGCAGTTACAGTTACAATGTGTTAAGAAAAGAACTCCATCATCAATTTTAAAAAGAAAAACAAATGTACCAAGAATTTAGATAGAACATTGTGTAACACAGTTGGTTTAACATATTAATGCTGTGTTTTATATGCATATATTTATTATTATTCTCATAATTTCACAAGTATTGGCCTTGTTTAGTTTGAATTTAATAAATTACAAAAGTCAGAATAAGTTTTATATTCTCTTTCAGTACCACAACCACTAATGCAGCATATTCCCAATGTAATTATTCAACAATTCACTTTAATTTAAAATAATCAAGAGAGAAAAATCCCATTCACCACATGCATAAAAAACATTCAGTTGTATAATAATGGAATAATATCACAGGCTACACATGGTCAAGTGCAAAGGAAAGAATAAGTAAAGAACAAATCACAGTTGCAAATGATTCACCAACATGGTTCCCTTTACTGTAATGACCACACCCTCCACTGTAAATAATAACTGTTTATACTTTCCCATCTCACCATAACACATTAGCTTAAACATACAATTCTGTACAAATCTGTAGACCAGCCTGCTGGTCTGGAAGTAAAAGGAAAACAGACTGGAGGGATAAATGTGCAACAAGGTTCTCTCCGTGGAACCCCATATGTTCCATATGGACAGGGACTGACCCCATGTACACAGATACAGAGAACTTAAGTGTCTGGGGCCAGTTGCACAAAACACCTTAAGTTAAGATTTCCCTTAAAGTATGAGTTAAGGTTTCCTCAAAATAAAAACAGTTACACAAAACAACCATACACCTTCTCCTTAAGCTTTCCTTAAAATGTTCACTTAAGTATATATATCTCTCTCTATATATAAAGAGAGAGATATATATATTGGTCTTATACTTAAGGCATCATTTAAAGTCAGTTACACAATTGCACAAAAGGCCTTAGCACCAAGCTAAGGGAAAAGACTAAATGCACCTCTGACTATCTTTACTGCAACAGGTCATAAATGAAGAAAATTAACACATCCCAAGAAGAGTGGGAGAACACAATGGACCCTTAACAATGAGGAACTGATTCTACATCACAGATCTGACCTGCAGTCAATGGTTGCTCTGCAGTTTCATGCTAAAAGTGATAACAGGTATCACAAGCTAATGGCAGCAATCAGCAGTCTCCATCAAAACAATAGAATTTTACTGCTCTAAAATCTCCTTTACTGCTGTAAATTACTTAACTTTTTTTCTTACTAAGGAAACCTTTTAAGAATTTCTGTGCAACACCTTTAAGTAACTCCTTCAGTTAAGGAGAAATAAAAGTATCATACTTAAGTAGAAAAATTAAGGTGTTTTGTGCAGCCAGCCCCTGGGGTTTTCTCTAGCGTGGGCAGAAATAGAAAACTCTGCTGTGGCTGGAGTCACATTAAGTTTCCCACAGTGTCCTGCACAGCATTAATGCAGCATGTAGCCAGTATTAACCAGGGATTAAAGGACTAGAGGAAAGATACACACACACACACAGTGGCATATTCACACATACAGTACAGCATCAACACAGACATTAACATACACATACTGCAGACCACAAACACTACAAACACACACTTGAGTCAGATGGGGGTGAGGATCTATTGTATACTGTCAGTCCTGGTACAACAGGAGCTTTGTGCTGCTGCAGCTGAGCGACTGACCTCAGTCAACCCCCACCTACAGTGTCACAGTCAGCTCTGTGCACTGGGACAAGGACAGTTTACAGTGTTCACAGGCCACTCCACTGTGATATGAAAAATAGTTTTTAATCCACTGTGAGTTACAGTCAACACCATATTGCAGCAACCTTTGAAAGCAGAAACTGCCGACAACTACAAAGTGCATGAAGCTCTGTCTGAAGTAAAGTACATTAATGAACCTGTAGGTCCATTAACTGACTTAAATTGATATATTGAGACTATTTGGTCCAGCAGCAGTCAGCTGATTATCAGTCACTGATCCATATGCCAATCATATCTTCCAAACAGGTAAATCAACAATAAAGTCAATCTTAAAGCTGCACACATCATTTTTCAAATAATAACAATGGATCAAACGACCATGTGTAATGTGAAGTTGGTCGATGGCAGTGACAAACCCACACAGAATTATCACTAGACTCTGCATTGTTACACTTTTCATCTCTCAGACCGTCTCTCAGGCTCTGAAAGCTCCAATAAACCCACTGTACCTGCACAGCCCGAGTAACATAAAGTCAGAGACCAGCTGGGCCGATTGCTCAAAACGCCTTAAGTTAAGATTTTTTTTTTTTTGTCCAAGTTAAGGTTTCCTTAAAATAAAAAAGTAACATGAAACACCTTTAAGTTAAGGTTTCCTTAAAATCACTTCATAAGGAATCACTTAAAGTCAGTTAACCCGTTGCATAGACAACCTTAGCGACCAAAGTAAGGCAAAAAACTAAAGGTACCTCTGACTCTATCTTAACTGTAACATGAGTTTACAGGAATAAATTAATAAAACGAAACAGATCCCAAGGGTCAGTTGCACAAAACACCTAAAGTTAAGATTTTCCTTAAAGTCTGACTTAAGGTTTCCTTAAAATGTTCACAAGTATTTAAGATTACTTAAAACGCTATCTCAACTGCAACATGACCATGTTTCTGGCAATAAATGAAGAAAATGAACCCTTTAAGAAATTCTGTGCAACTCCTTCAACCAAGGAGAGAGCAAACCTCAAGTGTCATGATTAAGTAGAAAACTTAATGTGTATTGTACAATCAGACCCAGGAGTATATTGTATATATGTATCACAAGCGCTATCGCCAGCACACAAACTGTCTCCATGGAAACAGTAAAATTTGATCACTGTAAAATCTTTCACTTCATTTTTACTTAACTAAGCACACCTTTTGAGATATTCTGTGCAACACCCTCAACTCACTCAGCTAAGGTGAAATTAAACCTTTAAGTGTCATACTTTTGTAGAAAACTTAAGGTGTTTTGTGCAACAAGCCCCAGATATTTCCCTCATGACCTGGTGGAGACCAAACATAGAGCTAAAAGAGAGGGAAGACCTTGACTGAGATTGATAAGTGATAATATATTTTCAGCTTGCTTTCTGCAAAAATCAGATAAGGAACTTTTCAACAAGTAAAAATGTTTTTAAGGACAAACCATTCATATAATAAATGTGCATATAGAGTTGTGACATGAACTTGAGCACATTCGACCAAAGCTTGAAAAAGGTGAATAACATTTAGAATTCAGGCAAGTGAGCACATCACAACAAACTCACATTCTTGATAAGTCGATAAGAGCATTCAGATTCAGATTCAAAGAGTAAGGACTTAGTAAGTACAAGGAGTGGACGGTTCCATACGGCCAGCCATATGAACATAGGATGCTGTCTCCTAAGAGCATTTTGTCTGATAAAAAGAGCAATGGCATGAAATGCTGAAAAGAATAAAGACATTTTAAAAAAGAACATGTCAGATGTCATTTTAGAAAACTGTACCATCTCCGTTTCATTTTAGTGGTTTCTAACAATCCTCCCCACAGAGTACACATGTGCAAAATATAGAAGTACATACTGTACACAGGCATCAAATAGCATTAAAATATCATAAAAGCTTGTGTTTCAGTTCCAGTCTGCCCTCAGTCAGAGCCTCTGATGGCTCTGGTGCTGCAGCTGCTGAGTCCTCGTCAACTTGTAAAGTCAGAAAATTATCACCACACATTCACCAGCTGCTTGACTTGTGAGGTCGTCAGTCAGTGGTTAAACCAGAAAGTGAGCCAGAGCAGTGAACAGGCTGTCACATGAGTTTATATGGAGATGAACCTTAAACACTGTTTCCAGTTGTCCATCGAGAGGACTCATGGTCTGACTTTACCACAGGTGTTACTGACTTGTCAGGTGATCAGGTACCACTTCCTGGTGATAAACTCGGAAACGTTCGACTTTCAGAGTTGACAAGGTGCTCCTGAACGCAGCATTATTTCAGTGTTGGACTACACTTCTCACACTGTGGTGGTTTTCAGGGTATTGTTCAAGTAATTTCTGGTTCTAATTCTTGGCACTGGTCAAAGAGTCACTGGGTGTGTTTCAGAGTGGTCCTCTTTTCAGTCTGTAGAGAATCCCAGTACAGGGAACAGGATCACAGCAGAGGTCACTAACCTGTCACAGTATGGTTGCTAATCAGCACAGCTTCATCAAACTGACTAATTACTGACTTTATTAGCTGCAGCTGTCTGTCTTCTGAAAATCTGTTTTTTTTGTCATATTTGATGTTCAGCTGATGAGTAGACTGTCACTTGGCAACACAATACTCACGGCAGACATTTTGGACATTAGGAAAAGCTCAGGAATATTAACAAATTCGTGTCCTGATAAACTGGGACATTGACAGTGAAGCAAGCATTCATTCATTCATTCACTCATTCATTCAGTAGTAATAACGCTTATCCTTTTAGGGTCACAGGGGGGCTGGAGCCAATCCCAGCTGACATTGGGCGAGGGCGCAGTACACCTAGGCAGGTCACCAGTTTATCACAGGGCTGACAGATAGAGACAAACAAACATTCACACTCAAATTCACACCAACAGGAAAGAGTCACCAGTTAACCTGCATGTGTTTGGACTGTGGGAGGAAGCTGGAGAAAACCCACACAGACTCAGGGAGAACATGTGAACTCCACACAGAACCCGGGCGATGGTGCTAACCACTGCACCACCATGAAACTGTTGCAACTGAATGGAATTCAGACATGATTCATTTTATAATTTATACCTGTGATTTTCCTACTGTGACATGTATACATGTCGGCTCTGAAACTGACCTGCTGCCTTGTGAAGTGCTGTAGTGTCACCTCCAGTCAGGGACGACAGTGAACAAAGATTTTTACAAGTGATTCTCCAGATGTTCCAGGAGCCACTGACTCAACCCACTGATCCAGGATCAGGTCTGACACACACCCAGTGTAAAGAAATGATTATTGGAGTACTGTAAATTCTCAAATAGAATCTGGTAATTAAATTACAGCCCAGAAGAAAAGGAGAACCTGGTGTTTCTCCTTTTAAAAGAATAACTAATCTCTAGTCTATTAGTGTTTAGTTTGCATCAGGCACCTAACTAACGACTGCTAACACTGCTAATGCTGGTTAGTATTGTTGAAATACAGCATCACAGCTGCATAACACAGTGGTGAAGGGACAACAGTCCACATATTAATGAAAAGGAATTAATTCAGTATTTGTAGACACCTTGGTATCAGCAGCTAGCCTGATGCTAACACTAATGCTAACTGCTCTTTCTTCGTCTGAGGTAAAAAAAAAAAGCCCAGTCTACTATTTGAGAAAATACAGTAGCTGTGTTAAACACACTTTCAACCACCTGCTTAAATAAAGCAGAAAGGCTCAATATCTGTATCATAGTAGTCTTATATCGAGCTGTGCGCACATGCACACAGACGATCAGAGAGTCGTTAACACGCTGATGTGGCTGGAGATGAGTTCATGTGTCTGTCAGTGAGACTCGATGACGACTGGCTCAAACACACCAGGTGTTCCTCTGAGAAAACACAAACACACCATCATTTAGACAAAGTACTGCTGGTAAAGAGAGACGGTACAGTAGATGTGTACTGTACCTGTTGGCCAGAGTCCCACTGAGGGCAGTGGTCCCATCTTTACTAACAAACAGTCTCAAGTTGCTGTCTGAAGGAAGAAGAAGAGAGCGTTAAGGTTGTGATACACGAAGGTTCTGCCGAAACTAAAGAAAGTGAAACTCTGTCCGACCTTCCTTGTTGCTGCTGTCAGAGAAGTTCTGGCTCTGGACGATCTTCTCCACGATGTCGTCTGCATCGATGCGAGTGTCGTCCACACAGCTGGGCTGCCTCTGCACGGTGTCCTTCTTCCTCCTGTTGTCGGGTGAGAAAAAGACCAACTGAGAGAAGATTCAGACCTGAAACACGGCAACACTCTGCAGGAGCAAAAGGCAGATAAAGGCTCTGCTTCATACAACAATCATATTACAGTCTGGTTATATAGAGTTTTCTGAGTGCCAACAAATCCCATGAAAAGAAACTGGTGAAACCTTAACTTGAGGTCATCCACATCCCACATTTGACATGTAAAAGCTGTTGATGCTATATTGTTATATTTTGTTTTTATCTTTTTTAACCTTAATAACTATGGCCTTAATACTCCACCACAGTAAATAGAGTCTGGTGACTTCACTGCATAAATCTGCCCAACCCAACCTGAGCAGAGGCCTGACCAGCCACAGTAATTAAAAACACCTGTGAGGCTGTGCAGGGTCTTTAGTAGATCAAAAAGCAGGTGTTACTGATGACATTAACGATGGCTAAGTTCCATTAAGTATCACACATCAGATCCCTGGACCAATCAAAACCTTCTCATTTAATAGCTGACATGTATGTGAATGGTTAATGAGGTGACTGGCTCTGCCTGGAGTCAACAGGAGAGGTTCACGCAGGAGTGTGTCCATTTACTGAGTCAGTTAAATGCTTATCTATCAGTCTTGTTCTGAATTTAGATTTCATGACATTCATGTTCACATACATTCATTCATTATTTGCCTTTGCTAACCAGTCAAGCTGCAGTTTACATCCATGTCTATCCAGACTCATATAATATGTGGTGCAGACTTTGAAGGATTTCAATGAAGGGTGTTAAGTGTATTTTGTCATAATTAGCAGATGAATTCTTGAGTAATGCAAGATGCAAATATGATGTAAAACAGGGTCAACAGAATTCATTGACACCTAGGTTCAATAAGCTCAAGCAGCAACCATCTGCAGTTCCTTAAAATGACCACTAGAGGTGGTCAATCCCCATAGACTCCCATGTTAAGTTATGTGCAGAAATAAATATGTTTATAGTCTGGTCCTAAAAACAGTTTTAGTCTCTAAAGCTAATTTCCTCCTTCATGACAACTGTTATCAAGGCTTAACGTTGTGTATAATTGAGGGCGTGGCTGCTTTGAGTGACAGGTGGGTGCCGTCACAGTTGGCTAGTTGCTCAGTGTCCAGCAACTACCTGTCTGCTCAGTGTCACCCCAGCTCACTCAGTCAGTGATGGTGATCTCTCTGTGTGTGTTGTTGGTTCTTCTGGAGGATTTTTCATGTAAATATCAGACAGGTAATTTGACCTGTTGTTGACTGACTAACTGAACATGAGGAAGTCTGTGTTCCTGTTTTTAGAGGTGAGTCAAATTCTACTATTATTTTATCTATATGTTAGCATTAATTAGCAGGTATCGGTGTCTGCGCTCACCATACCTGGCTTGTTAACTTAGCTCATTAATTGGCTAATTTGCCAACCAATGTATTAGCCCTGGGTTAACTCAGGTGTGTCTGTATGTACCTGGAGGACCTGTTGGACATGAGGGCTGCTGCAGAGGGTGGAGGAGGCCTCTCTGGTTTGGTAGGAGTTGCTTGTCTGTGATGCTCGGTGGGGGTGGAGGGATGCGGCTGAGCAGGGTGGGCGACCCCGCAGGAGGTGCTGCTGCTGGAGGAGGCGTTTCTATGGTGACTGAGGTCAGTCAGGCTGGAGCAGCGAGAGTGACCTGTGCTGTAGCCTGGAGGAGGAGAGGAGAGGTTAACAAGGAAAGTAGATGAGCAAAATATCTTATGATGTGCAGCAGAGGTAACTGTCATTTTGGCCAAAATTTTCAAACCAAAAAAGAGAATACAGTAGGTCATGTGTCATGTATGGACATGCCTGGATTAACTTGCTATGGGTAGAGGTTGTAGAAACCAGCCTCTGACTGACTGCAGGATGTCTGCTGATACTGAGTGGAGTCCCTGTCAGTTTGTCTTGTGTCACTGATGGACAGTGTCACTGTTTTACCTTCATCTGTCCACAGCACTTGTTTCCAAAATGACTCTGGCTGATCCAGATGTTGGAGGTGCTTTGATATCGGCTGAGCCTCTCTTCTGATTGGCTGACTGTTTTCTGAGTGATCCAATAGAAATATAGCAGATTTCAGGAAAACACTCAGAGAAACCAAATCCTGCAAGGTTGGATGGTGGGTCCAGGTGGGCGGGGCTTGGGGTGTGGCTGAGGTTAGTGACTGTTTTGTTGTGACATCACAAAGTTCCAGAAGTCCTGACGGCTGGTTTTAAGGCTCAGTTTCTGAATACAGGCTGTGTGCATTTCTCTGTGGACTGAGGCTTTGATACTTTCACAGTATTAATATAGAACCTAGACCTGATCTATAATCAAACAACACATGGACATCTACCTTTAGACTATATGGGACCTGTAACATTTGAAGAAAAGTTCATTTCAGTGCCTGTTTGCTGCAAGAGTTTCTTTCACATGGTTGTATCATCAATCAGGACACATCCTTCTCATGTTGGGTCATGGTGCTCGTGCTCATGGTACAAATTTTCAATTTAATTACCACAAATTAGGTAACACTAGGCTTGGGCTAATATCCGATAATAGCAAGAAACATCGTCCGAGCCAATGTAACACACAGTAACACTACAGCACTCAGGGCTCCTGGGTTTCTGGGGCCCTAGGCCTGTTGCTCACTTTTCCCAGTTGGTAGTCCACCCTTGGATGATGCGCAGCACCACCACTTGATTACATTCACCCCAGGTCAAATATTGTCCTACTGCTCTCACAGCACCTCCCTGGTCTCAGCAGGAGGAAGTCAAATGTCTGATGGGAGCAGGAGTAAGTGAACGGCGCTCTGACCTGATATCTTGCTGTGCTGGCTGGCATAGCTGGAGCTGCGGAAGTGACCGGTGTGAAAGACCTCCTCTGGACTGGAGACACTCTCTCCCTCCTCAGGCAGCCCTGTAGTCAGGACACACACAGCCAACACACTGACACCTGACTCATGGACATGGGTCAACACCAACAACCTCAACACATATTAAATAAATACATGTCATCAAATATGATATGATCAGCCTGTAATCATTTCAGGGCAGCTGGTTTCAGAGAATAATGAAGCTGAGTCATTACCTGAGCTTCGTACCGATGACTGTCGGGGTTTGAAGGTGCGGGCTCCCTCCACGATGCCCCCCAGTGGCTGCAGTGTGGCATCAGTGCTCTCTCCCTTACAGTCCAGCTGCAGGGTGGGGTCCTGGTCCCCCGTGGAGACAGATTTGGCTGTGCAGGGGGGCCTGGAGGTCAAAACAAAAGGCAGAAAATATAATGGGTATTTCAAAAAGTTAGCTTTTTCAGAGGCAGAAAGTTACAGAGTTACAAATATACAAGAAATATAAACATGGAGCTCGACTTGTAGTTCTACGCTAACATTATACTTCCTGTTTATATTCACCTGAACCCCAGAATTATGGGAACCTTATTTCCAAAACTTACATAACAATAACAACAGCAACAAAATCCAACAACATGAACTTGTTTTGTGTTGCGCTGTCATTATTTTTTTTAAAACTTTTCTAAAGTTCAGAAAGTCTCATCAACATTCTGCTCTATCCACTCATACACTGATAATTGTGTTCAGAGTCTATGGACACAGACAATGGTAGGGTGGTGATGGGAGCAGACAGAGGAACTCACGTTTTAAAGCAGGGATCCCCAGACAGAAGAGTCATGTCAATTGTTACCTATAAAAAAACAGATGTGTTAATAAACCTTAGTGCTGATTAGTCCAGTGTGTGTGTGTGTGTGTGTGTGTGTGTGTGTGTGTGTGTGTGTGTGTGTGTGTCCTGCCTTGAGGATGGAGTTGTCCTGTCGAGTGTTTTTGGTGTCGTAACCCTCCAGGATGCAGCAGCGAACTGTGGAGCCTGATCCAGCAAACTCTGCAATATTGAGATCAGCAAAACCTAACTGGAGACAGACGAGGAGACAGATGAGGAGACAGACGAGGAGCCGGACGAGGAGACGGACAAGGAGACAGACGAGGAGACGGACAAGGAGACGGACAAGTATACAAACAATGAGATTTTTTTCTTTTCAAGATCTTATTCGTCCACTGTGAACCACATCAGTAACTGACACTGGACCAGTCCCATGGCGTGAGGAAGTGAATGAAGTCAATGACCTACTTTAACCTCCTCATTCATGATGTCTGCACTGTTTCCCTCCTGAGGGGCCACAGCTTGTGTTTAGCTCTACCTCATTTCCATTAATGTTCCTATAAACATATTTCATGCAAATTCTTCCATCCGAGCCTCTAGTCAATCTGAAAATGTCATTAAACTCTTTGCTGGGAAGGTTGTTATTTTTTTCTTTCTGATTCTTAGTCCCACCTACTACGCTCTGATTGCCTGGAAACAGCCATCACTGAGGACATCAGCATCTCAGTGATTCAGAGGTCTGGAACCTGACTACACAAAACTCTTCTTCTTCTTCTTCTGTCCACCATTCATGTTGTTGACTGTAATGAATGCTGCAGCCTGTAGGGGTCACTAGCTTTAGCTTCAGACTCAATTTGGTTAATCATAAACTCACATTGAATCAACATAAAGCAAACTCACAGATTTATCTAATGAGTTCCTTTCCACTGGTCAAAATGGAACAATCAGCATTCACACCCGGGTAAAATGACTGCAGCAGTCAAAGGTATTTATCAGTTCTCTGATCAGCTCTGATCAGCAGTGATGTAAGCAAACCTGTCACCTGTCCAGCACAACGCTGTTACACCAGAAACACCACAGCTTCACTCGCTCAGAGATAAAAGAGTGAGGTGCAGCCCTGACATAGGTTTCAAAAACACACAATCACGGGGCGTCGTGTGGCGTAGTGGTCTAAGCAGGCGCCCCATGTGTAGAGGCTACAGTCCTCGCTGCAATTGGCCCCGGCTCAAGTCCCGCATCGGACGGCCTTTGCTGCATGTCATTCCCCCTCTCTCTGCCTCCCCATTTCCTGTCTCTCTCTACTGCACTATCAAATAAAGGCATAAAAAGCCCAAAAAAATATACTTTAAAAAAAAAAAACACACAATCACCGACCAAAGCGAGGCTCTGACACAGTAGCACCACCCTGGAGATGAGAGTCTGCACAGCAGCTAGCAGCTAGCTCTCTCCCCTCGTGTCTGTGTGTGTGTGCTCTGTAAGTGCATGTGATGACATCACTCCCTGCACTTGTGTGTGTGTCCTCTCTGGCAAACTCGTCTGGTAGTGTGAAAGGTGTTAATCACCTTTCTTCAGCAGGTTCATCTGTCATAAAAAACCTGCTTATACCTGATAACCTGGTGTAAAAAGGGAAACAGTCACTGCTTTGATTAATGGTTCCTATCTTGATGTTTTGATAATAGAAGACAGTACAGAAACTGACATGAGCCAACACACAGCAGACCACCTGCAGGAACCATGTGAATCACCTGAGAAGGTAAATGATCCCTGTGATCAGCTGAGACTTGACAATATGCCAACTATTTGTCATAGCTGCAAACAGCTGATACTTTAAACTACAGGTGCTTGAAGTTGAGCTGTACACTGCGCGCACACACACACACACACACACACACACACACACATACTGCAGTAAACACAGTGTGATCCTGATCCTCGTGATGTTGACATGGTTGGAGTTTAACAGGTTTTACCATCACTGACACTGTAAAACTCTGGTGTACAGATGAAGCAGCTCTTTATGAGCTCACACCGAGCTGGTTAAACATTACTGTTGATATATTTAAAGCAGCTGCTCATCACATCATCAGAGAAGAAACTCACCTTTGAGAAGGTTTTTCCTCCTTTGAGCTCCTGGAAAAACAGAAAGAGGCAAACTGTAACAAACACACATCACAGTATATGGAGAACATGTAGCCTGAGGACAAACCAGGTTTACACTGACTGTACATTACTCTCATCTTTACATTCAGAACCCAGAGAAGCACGGAGAGGTGGCTGCTGGGATTTGTAGTTCACCTTGCGTACAGAGATCCTGCAGATGCAGGGGTCCAACACACCGGTGATCGGGTTAGCGCTCATTTTACACACAAAGGAGAACTTCTTCCTCCATCGAACGCAGTTCTGCTGCACCTCCTCCCTGCACACACACACACACACACACACACACACACAGGTTGATGTGATGTATACAGGTGTAAACAAAGAGCTCAACATCCCCTCTGACACTATAATGATAATAATAATCCTTGGCATGTTCCAGGGGGGCTGTCTAGCTCAAGGCCACCTGCAGCCTGAGCCCCCTCCTCTTCCATTCATGGGGCCCCTGGTCCATCCTTTGCTGAAGGATGGACCAGGTTGACAGACTGCATCACATTTCTTTATAAAAGACAACATGAATCTGAGGTATAATCTGATCCAGAGGAAGACAAACAAGGTGGACAGCTCACGGCCTCAATACTTGACAAAGTGAGTCATGGGTCTTGTGATGAGCCTGAAACCTGATGCCCAAGAGACAAATGGAAATAAATCTGCCTGATAGGAGGAGGAAATAACCTTACAGCGGATGTGTTCACATGTAGATCACATGTATTTGAATGTTATTAAACATAGGAAATAATATTCATCATAGGGAGAATCAATAGAGAAGGATCAGCTGTCTCTCCGGCCTCTTATTAGAAAACATGAAGTCTGTGAGGTTGAGGGTCCAGATGATCTCATCCTGGGATGTGACACATAAGACCGAGCTCAGGGGTTTTCCACTGAGTGTGCAGATTGAAAACAGATTTGGTGTTTATCTGCATGTAGTTTGGTGTAGGACATCTCTGTCTCTGTCTCTGTCTCTGTCTCTGTCTCTGTCTCTGACTCTGTCTCTGTCTCTGTCTCTGTCTCTGACACGCAAATGATTTTAGTGGAGCACTGAGAGGATCTGATAAAATACTGTACATTAAGCTGAAGATGGAGACAGACAGTTCGTATTAAGATTCTATATTTCATGACGAGGCTGAACCGGGAATGAACTCTTCCCTGGAGGAGAAAGTGCAGGGGTTTATTACTGTCTGCGCATCAGATGGCATTAAGTCACATTGATTCTATATGCTATAAGCAGTGGGAGATCTGGATGAAGGAGGTTTCTTTGGAAGAAACTTGATTAGCATAAAATTGGTTCAGGAAACATCTTGAAATACTCAGTGAACCACTGCACAAACTCCTCAATAACAAACAACTGGTTCAGTATACATGTGGCTGAGATGTCATTTGAACATTTTTTTTATTCATCATGAAAACTTCAGTACATGTTGTTGAAATGTTTATCCAGATCTGCGCAATAAACAATCACAGGTTACAAGGTTTCATTTTCATTCAGGGAAGTGAAGTTCAGGAGAAAATTTTTGAAAAGAACCTTTTTGAGATTTTCTTGTGAAACAAACAAACTGAGGTCCACAATTAAAACCAAGTCATTATCCGCCTTGTCTTCCTGTTAGACTGTGGCCCTTTGTCATTGTGACATAGGAGACTTTCAGATTCATGTTCCTCACAGTTTTATTAAGACATGACATTTACAGATCGTCACAATGCCCGTGTGATATTTGGCACCTGGTGGCAGAGGGAGTGGTGGCACTGCTGCAGAAGAGCAACTTCTCTCAGTCACTTCATCATTCATGGATTTTAACATTTGCAGCGTTATGACGTTGATGCTTTAATTAATAAACATAGCGATTGTTTCTCACATGAATCCTCTAATAAATATTTTCATAAACATCGTCATTTAAAACATTAGATGACGAGACATTAGGTCGGGACTCTAAGTCCTGTTACAGCAGCTTCTACCACAGTTAGAGACCTCAGAGCCTCATCTACACAGTGCTGCAGGATGATGTATTTCTGTAGTCCAACTCGCCGTTAGCATCCCCCTGGTTCCCTCCACTAACAGTCAATGGGATTTTAACATTGTCTCTTGGATTATTAGAGAAAATAAACAACAGTTAATGATCCTGACAGGTTTAGTTCAGCAGGATCATCTTCACTAATGAACTCCACTTCATGATGTTTGAAGCCTCAATACAATCGGCAGAAGTAAAAAGCTAATGTTTGGCTATAAACCAACTACACCACGGTCACATGACTTCAACACCACGGTCACATGACTTCAGCCTCACCACCACTAAACTTCAGCTTGTAGTTTGATTCAGCTCTGACCTCTTCTTCCAAAGCCTTTCCTCTGACGGAGTTAGAGACAGTTTGTATAAACACCAGGCTGTAAAGGTGGACTGGAGAGTAGATCAGTTTTCATGTTCAACGTGATGATGTTTATACTCCTCCCGAGCAAAACCCTCTGCAGTCTCATTTAGACACTTGTTAACAACCGAGACGTAAGGGCTTAAAGAAATCAGGACTGGGGTATTTACTGACTGATTTTATGTCGTAGAATAAAATATGAAAATGTCTTGAGCTTGTTTTGACACAGACCTTGTTTCAGCCATCTAACCAAAAACACATTCAATAAAGCCATTGACCTTAGGCAACAGCAGGAGCTAAAATGTCCAGGTTTTAGGACTCATTCTGTCACAGCTGAGGGACAACAGAGTTCAACCTCACTGACCTTTCATCTCCAAGGAGCAGAAAAAGTGTTTTGCACGTTGTTGAAAAAAATCACCTGCATCAACATGATACGCTGAGAAGAATCTATGTTATGCTCAAGCTGAGCCGGGAGGGCAAGGGTTATCTCTTGATTTATCGGTCAGTCTTCATTCCGACCCTCACGGGGGGGTGCTGGGCTCAGCTTTAGAGATAGGGTGAGGAGCTCTGACATCTGGAGGGAGCTCGGAGTAGAGCTGCTGTTCCTTCATGTTGAAAGGAGCCAGATGAGGTGGTTCGGCATCTGGTTAGGGTCCTCCTACAGGTGCCCTCCTTTGAAGGTCTTCTAGGTTTGTCCATCTGGTAGGAGACCTCGACGTAGACGCCGAGGGACGTCTGGACTTTTCTTGACCTGCTGCCACCGTAACCTGACCTCAGATAAGTGGTGGATGGAATGTAAAGGATGTGGAGGTGGTTCTTACCTACAGGTTATCTAGATGGGGAAACTGACAAGTAGCATTCCTTCCTTTAACGGCACAACAACTACAACTACACAACTTTCCATGTAGAAGACGCTGAACCTGACAATGCTCCATGACTGTGAAGCGGAGTGGAGGCGGGAAACAGCCTGGAGCTCAGGCCAAAAGGAGAGTGTGATCTTTGTTTGTGGAATCTGGTGTCCCTCCCTCTGTCTACAAACTGCTTTTTTCTCACTAAGCTGATGACTAATGAGTAAAGGTACAGTAAAGGTGAGCTGTTCCAGCTGAGACCACAGCAGTATCGTCAGGACACTAACACTAAAGCTGTCAATGTGGTTCACTAACCTCTCTACACATCACACACTCAGACCATCAGTGTGCTGGGCTTGTCCTGACTTGGCTCTTAAACTCTGATGTTATCTGCAACAGCTCATTTCAGAGGAAACGCTATGAACCGTCCAGCTCTCTGCACACAGCTCTGCTGCCTCACTGATCACAGATAGTCCCACATGGTGGTTCTGTGGAATGAGATGTCACAACGTAGGAAGACATGCACACCTGCCCACAGCATGGTTTCCTTTACTAGCAACTTTTATTGATTTATTTCCTCATGTACAAGCACAGATACACAATGTCACTAAAATATTAGAATGCTGTAATTTTGAGAGATTCATTGTGTGAAGGTAATGAAAATAATATGGCCGCAAACAACACTGACAGAGATCCCGGAGATTACACAAAGCAGAAATCCTCATGCTAACCATCAGACTACTAATTCTGTAGGCTAACCCTGGATTTTGATATAACAGGTTCCAGATTAGTTATAAATTTTCATAAAATTCATCCAGATTACTTAATACAAAAATTTGTGGCTAATGAATAAATATGAAAATGATTTCCATTTATTATTATTATTTTATATTAATTGGTCCATCAACTCTTTATCGCTAGTTAAAGTTCCTCTCCAGACATGTACTAAACTCTGTAAAAATCCTCTGCAATTTTGTTTAACATTGTTTTCCTTCATAAAAAGTGGAAAAACAAAATCAAAAATAGACTAGCAGAGAAATCAGAATGGTTAGCGTAGTTAGCATCTTTTATGTTGTTTGTTAGCTTGTAACTGGCAGTGGCTGACACATTGTTAGTGGTTGTGCTAATGCTAACTTTCTCCCTCTGTACTGACAAGGTTTCAGGTTTATTTAGCCCCACCCCCCCGTCCCCACAAGTTGACAGGATTGGTTCCTTAGGTTTGTGACATATCAAACCCTGGCTGTCTGAATTGGTGTTTATGAGACTGTTGTTGGTTCACTGCAGTTTAAGGTGGAAACACTCAGTCATGGTGTTGATGATTATTTCACTCATCATATGTCTTGTTTTATATAAAAACATCATATGGATGTTAACAAGGGTAAACACTTGATTTTCATCAGAGGGTCTTTAAGTTGATTATTTACGGTGCAGATCAAAACGACCCTCAAGCCACCAGCAATTGTCGCAGTTCTCTCAACGGGCGGTCCGCCACTGGATGTGGCCTTTAAATTCTAACACAGCAAGAGACTAAGAACACAAGGACTTAAAAAATAAAACAGGCATTAACATGTCTCTCAGCTTCCCCGCTCTATATGCAAATAAACATACCCATAATTCCTGTTAAGGACCAGTCAATCTGACTATGACAGACAGAGACAGAGAGAGAGGGGCAAGGTCAATTAATCAATGTCCTGTTAGTATTGTCAATGTTAATAAACCACAGTAAATATTTTCAGTTGATGATGAAACTGGCGGGACTGTGTGGGTGTGGCAAACACCCCCAACTGCAGTCACTTTTTGATTCAAATGTTGCTTCACTCTGATTGGTGCACAGAGGTACATGCCATCATACCTTTATCCACCTAAGCCCCGCCCATTTCAAACCAGAGAGAAAGACAAAAGAGCAAGAGAAGAAAAGCAGAAATCTGTCATGTGGAAAAAAAACTGAGGCAGATGATGTTTGGATCTGATCACTGATCACTTCACCTCTGAGTCAACTGCATTTTAAAGACTAAAAAAACACTAAAGATAAAGTGTGTTCATGCTTTCCATC